CACACACACACACACACACACACAAACACTCACACACACTCACACGCACACACTTTAAGACAATGATCGGCAACAGATGTACACACACAATACGCTAAGTGCCCACCACCTTCACTTATCTGACCATAACAAATATCTAGTTTCATAATATTCTAAGCTTTCGGCTAAATGCCTTGTCTCCTTTTCGACTTAAGCTTCCACTCTTGGGTACTTTTAATCAGTGTGGTTGGACAGGAACAAGAATTACACAGAAATAAGTCAACCTTCTCATATTTTTGGTACTGGTGGGAGTATGTATTTGTAAAGGGTTGCTTTTAAGGACAGGCAAGCTAACCCAGATTTCGGAGGCTTCGAGAAATCTTGACCTACACCAAAAGTGAGCATTGTCTACCTATAGGAGAAGTTTGGTTTAATTGGTGTGTATATTTCTTTGGTTATAGAGAAAACTCTCCTTGTCTTTTTAAGAAACTGAACAAGGGGCAAAAACTTTACCTTCGATATTCTCAAAACAACATTTTTTCGGGATAGCCCCTTTGTGCTTAAAAGCGAAGAAATAAAGTTTTACATCAGTTTCATCATAGATTAAGATTATTTTGGAGGCGATTTGCTTCGGTTCTGCCTTCCACGGCCTATTCAGGCTGAGAGGGATACACAATCCCAGCAGACAGATAGGAGTACTGGATTTAAAGAAGAAAAAACCGACAACCGCAAACCATCTCATCAACTTCAGCAGTCATGAAGGGATCACTCTTCTCTCAATACCATTTCAGGTCTTCTACAGAATCATTCTGTCGAGAAGACTGCAACGGTTCCAAGACTTCGGAATTAAAAAGCTGGTTTTTGATAAAATTGATCAGCCGCTGACCAGATTGCTACACTGAGGATCATTGTGGAATAGTCCCTTGAGCGGAACTCCCAGCTTGACTACAAAAAAGCCTTTGACAGTATAGACCGAGCAACACTACGGAAGATAAAGATATATCACCTAATCCCGCAGAAGTTGGTGAATCTCATCAAGAGCATGTACGAAGGGACAAATTGCAGAGTTGTAAAAGATGGCCAGTTCACTAACAGTTTTGACATCAAGACCAGTGTGAGTCAAGGGTGTCTGCTATCACCTTTCCTCTTCATCTTGGGGATCGATTTACTGATGGAGGAAACAAGCAGAGGACACAGAAATGGCACACAGTGGACCCCATGGACTCAGTTGGATAATCTGGCCTTTGCAGACGACTTGGCGCTCAGGAACAGATGCTAGCAAAGACTTCAGTTTTAAACAGCCTATCAAAGTCTGTTGTATTTTCCTATTATGGCCTTTAACTATTTCATAAAAATGATTATGTAGATACCGGCACCTATTTTTTTTCTAACAACCGGGGGAAAGAAAGGAGTTGAGTAAAAAGATATATGTCGACACAATAATGACCGTAATTTGTAAGGAGAAAAAAAGTGAAATAGACTGGTAGAAACAATATGCATTAGATGGAAAGCAAAGAAGGAGCTACCGGTGGCACTCTTTCACCAAGCGTGGAATATGGGGATCAAAGACAGACGCCTGGATGAAAACAAACGAAGAGCAGAGGGGGAAAACGACGGTAGTCACAAACTGAAATTGTGAAAGTGCCAATTTTAAAAGCTTATGGACTCATAACTTCATATTTGTTTGACTGGTGGGTTATTGTTAAGTATTGTTGAATGGTCAAGCTAACTACAATAATCAACCAACAGTTAAACAGAAATATAGTTATGAGTCAACAAGCGTCCAAAATGTGTAAGCCCACGATTTTCAGTTTGTGACTACCGTCGTTTTTCTCCTGAAGTCTTTAAACATGAGGGCATTTTAAGATTTGCCGACTTTCAGACATTCGGCTCAGAAACAGTTAAAGACTACAGGGGAAAACTGGTGATGTCATTTTCTTCAAATGCTCACTGTGCAGCAAAATGATGACAGGGAAAAAATGAAACATATCTGAAACAACCACTAAATTAATTACAAGACATAAACCATTGAACACACAAAAACTTTAAGATGCCATTACTTGTATATGTAGGGACACATGTAAGAAACAGGACGTTTCTGGGCCTAATTTTTTAGTTCTCTGTAGAATGTGACAAAAAAAAATGTTCCCTAAGTGTCTTCAGTTCGTCTTGTTGTAATTATATATTACTGTTTTGTGCTCTCTTCCTTTCGACACAGGTGGGTCATCAAAGGGAGGGGCTGCTTCGCTCCTGCCTGTCAGAGCCAACTCGGGCTGAGTGGTGCACACTAACACAGCCAACACACGAATATACTCGAAAACAACTATAACCCCCCACTCCCAGCAATAAACGAACAAATAAAAACACAAACAAATCAAACAAAACAAAATTAAAGAAAACAAAAAAACCAACAAGAACAAAGCGCCACCCTTTATGGGAATAGAACCCATGTCTTCTGCGTGTCATAAATCCGGACATTTGGAGAGTTGGGATTATTAGCCGGATGAAAATGAATAATATTTTTAGAAACAAACACAATATTCGATAGCATACATAAAGATTACTGACTTATTCCTTGACAGTCTCAGAGGTAAATCATAGGGTTAATTAAAGAAGATGATGATCTCCATGACATAATATGTTTTTTGTGGACCGCTATCGTTTTTTTCTTTATCATCCAGAATTTCTTCTTTCATTCTTTACCATCCTTTCTCTCTTTCTCTCATGTTTGTATTTGCTTAGGGCCAAAACCCATACACATATCCTTTCTTTCGAGCAATAATGTTTTAATGGTCCATTCACTGCATCATGAATTCAACAACAACAAACACGCATTAAAACACGCAAGCATGCATACTAAACACACACACACACACACACACA